AGTTTTGGCTATTTGTCTTTTGCTTATTTAATATATATATGTATATATTTTTTATAATAGTCTAGCTGGTTATACAACCAACACAATATAAATTCATACTTCAAACATTGTATAAAAATTAAAAAATTCTGCAAAGCTCCAAACTTTTTAATCGGAAGGTTTAGAAAAAATTTTGCTTTGCTGTTTTGTAGTCCATTAAATTGTAGTACAATCAAGGTGTGTTAAATACATTTTGAGTATAAAGAAGTGCAAGTTGCAAGCTGCTAAAAATCCCGTTCATTTATGGGCATTTTTTTTTTTTGTTGGCAGTGTCTTCCATATAAAAGAAAATTGTCGAACATACTTTGGAATGGAAAAATGCGAAACACCTTCAAACAAAAAAGTTTTCAAAAATCAACGGGATTTCTTACGAACTTGAAAATTGCAATTCATTACACTACAATTTAATAGGCTACAAAACTGCGTACCGAAATCTTTTCCTAAGACACGTTAAGTTTGAAATTTTGGTGCCTTTCGAAAGAGTTTTTTTTTTTATTTCTGCACCACGAGCAAGTTGAAATATATTTCCGAAATCGATTTTCGCTCTGTCAATTGCAGTCACATCTTGTTGCTTTAATTTCCGAAACTGATTTCCGAAATGTGATAGAAAGGTCTTTCTGGCTGTCGATAGATCGAAATAAAATTTCTCTTTCTCAATTTAGCATGATTTCGAGAGACATATGTACTTACTTTGGGATCCTCTTAGCCAAACTACAATGCACTTGCATTTCAAATAAATTTCATTTTATTAATTCTTGTATTTAGGTAATTTTAAATTTTAAGGCAAAGCGTTTACATAAAAATACATTTTGCTTCTAATACATTTTATGTGTATGTGTATGTATGCATGTGTATTTTTAAATTTAGAGCTTTTGATATTTTATACAATTTACATAATTTGTCTGTAAATAACTTGCAAAGCGCAAGTATATACAAGTTGAATCTTTGCAATTGATTGAAATTTAAATAAAACATTTCTGTTTAATCAAATGTTGTAAAGTTATGTATTTATATACAATGTTCTCTTATACTAAAAATATGGATTTCTTCCGATAACATTTCCCTAAAAATATCGAATAGTTGGTATATTTGAAGTGCATGCAAATAAACTTTATAAAAGTCGCTCATCACCATTTTAATACAACGCAGATGTGTTCTTGTGATTTCTTTAAATCAATGCTTTTGCAACTAGTAAACAAATACATATTTGAAATATCGCGTTTTGAGAATTCTGTCTCCACAACACAGGAAGCATCGAAAAAGGCTTACAGGTAGTTTTTAAGCAGGAAACAAAACCGATTTCAATTCCCATTTAAAAATTTAAGATTATCGTTAATTTCTTCAAGATCCAATGATCGGATCTAAACCAAATTAGTATGGGACCACTTAAAAAAAAAATTTATACAAATCGGTTAACGTGGTCCAAAGATATGCGGTAACATAGATGAAAGAGAATGAAGTTGCTTATCATTTGCGCAACTAAGGCTTTGAAAAGGAAATTTTAGGGATGGGAGCGTCACTGACAACCTTTGCGAAATTTGCAAGATCCTCCGCAAAGCGTGTGGATCGAGGTTTCTCGTGCTTGCAAAGCAACATCTTTCGTTTTTGGCGGGGTTCTGACAGGTCCCGCGATGAGGCTGAAAACCCAATGGGATCCCTTCTGCCCCAGTTGACTGGAGGATGATGAGGTGGTATATTACCTCAACACTACTGCCTAAGCTGCCCAGCTTTTGAGAAGCCAAAGGCTTGTTTTCACTATGTTATATTCCCTGGAAATTGGCGTCAAATAACGGAAAACACCAAACGTTGTTAAAAATCAGTATACCATATAATTTACCTCAAGTTAGGTGATACCGCAAATTAAATTCTCTATAACGTTTTAGTGTATCCCCAATTAAGGATGACCACCGCTACCTAAAATGGCTTCATCACTTTGTATCAGTCCATAGGAGTCAAGATAGATACATACATACATATGCTATTTTTTATACCAAAACGCTCCGATTGAGCGCTCTACGATTGTGTGCACACGATAATCGAGTATAAATTGGTCCTGGAGACAAGGACGGATGGTATTGAAAATAGACAAAATCGGGCAATAACCACGCCCAGGGGGATGTAGTGCTAAGTTTTTTTTCCCCCCAGCGGCGACAGTTTACTTAATATTTATTTAACAATCCTGTCGGGTGCATATTATAGAATGAGATTTTCTTTAATGCGTTGGGTGGGTTCGCAGCGCAAAAGTGTTCACCGGGTGCAGATACTCTTATTTATTTTAATTTTGATCATTTAACAAGTTAAAGAATTTTTTTTTTACTGTAATATCATTGAAAATTATGTAAGAAATCGCGGTACTTCATTACACAATTTTTTGCACATCCCACTTTGTGCCAAATGCATTATTTATAGGGTTTTAAAGCATGAAAAGCATTTGAGCTAAATTTAAGAAAATTTATGATTCTGTTTATTGCACTTAATTGAAAATGTCATGTAGGTAACGTTCAATCAGCATCAAAATAATATTAAATATCTATGTAGCTAGCGCTGCGAAGTCTTAGTTTATATGATAGGCTCTGTTGTATAAGCTTAAAAAAAAAAAATATTAAATATACTACAGTAGTGCATACATACATATGTAGGTTTTTTTTTTTCAAAAATATTTTATTTTCAATATCATAAGTAAATTTTTATGTGCCGACAGTACTTAGTACATATCTTAATATTTTTTTTTAAATACTTATGCCGCAAATGGTATTCAGATTTTTTCTTTAATTCCTCATCAATAGGCGGGTAATTGTGTCTTAAAGTCAGATTTTAGCTGTACTTTGTTTTTAATTTTATTTTTTTTGTATTTGGTTTTACTTTTAACTACATACATACATACTTTATCTTTTTTTTTATATTTTATTTAATTTTATTTATGCAAGCATGAATTGACTAACATTGTAAGGCTAGCTACAAGCATACTCTTTACATGTAAAATATGGTTTTTGGGGATCGAAAAGAAATCTACATACATACATATGTTTTGTATACAAAATGGTTTAGTTAGCATTCTCAGCTTATAAATTTGTATAAAGTAAATGTTACGGGTTTTGCTTGAGATATAAAGTCATACGAGGCGTAAATTTAATTTACATTGGGCTTTTATCACAAAAAATTATAGTAAAGCTTTTAGTAAGTTTATATCAAAGTGGACTTCGAAAATATATGTACTGTACACTTACACTGTTTATCATTGGGTTGCACTAATTTGGACACAGATCTTTGGTATAGTTTTAACCGACTTCCAAAAAGGGAGGAGGTTATCAGTTCGTCGGAATATTTTTTTTTTATGTACTTACCGCATAACTTTGGACCACGTTTGGAACCGATTTCGATAATTCTCTTTGCATCGGAAAGATAGTGTCTCAGAGGTGGTCCCATATTGGTGTAGATCCTATCAGTGATCATGATATATATTTTTTTTAAGTCGGTTTTTTTTTTTACTAACGAAATTGTGATGAAGGGCCTGGAAGAAAAAAAAAGTTCGCTTGCACAGTTGTTAGTGCTTGGCCGAGCTACTCCGATCTGTTGTGCCGCCTCCAAACGGTAAATGTTTTGAGATGCTTTGCCATTGCCTACTGAAGTCGGGCCGCGAATCGAACCTGGTGGGTCTTAGCGATTGGTAGTGTGAAGCTTTAACCATGGAGCTCCAAGAAATGCGTGTATTTAATTATAAACAATTAATTTTTGTGCAAAAAACAAACCGACTTCAATTCTCTTATAAAAATTTAACAGTACCGTTAATTTCTTCATGATCAAATGATCGGACCTAAACCAAATTAGTACGGGACCACCTTTCCTAAAAAAAATAATTATAGAAATCGATTAACGTAGTCCAAAGTTATGCGGTAACATACAGTGGTGTAAGAAATAATAGAAACTTTATTTTGACCAGTTTTGGCTATATTTCTTTTGTTTATTCGATGTTTATAAATGTCTAGGCGCATTATATAACAAGCACCATATAAATCACCCTTTCAAACTTTGCACAAAAATTTAACAAATTTTACCAAAATCCCCAAAAATTTCAACACTTTTTCTCGGATTTTTTTTTTGAAAAATATTGGTTTTGCAGTTTTATAGCCCATTCAATTTTATTAGTGCGAATTTCAAGACGGAAGAAGATCGCGTTGATTTTAAGAAAAAAAATTGCTGACGCCGCTAGGCATTCTTTTCCATATAAAAATAAATTTTGAACATTGTCGAGCATACTTATATGGAAGAAAATGCACAACACCGTCAGCCAAAAAAAAAAAATTATTAAAAATCAACGCGATTTTCCAACGTCTCGAAATCTGCACTTTAGCCTATTAAATTTTAATGGGCTATAAAACTGCATAACCAATATTTTTCAGAAAAATCTGAATAAAAATTTTGAAATTTTAGGAGTATTTTGGTAAAATTTTGTACAACGTTTGAAAGGTGGATTTATATGGTGCGTGTTAGACATTTATAAAGAATATTATACAACGAATAAAGAAACGAAATATAGCCAAAGCTGGTCAAAATAAAAAATTTCTATTATTTCTTCCACCACCGTATGTACACAAAAAAAAATATTCGCACGAATTGATAAGCTCCTCCATATATATATTGAAAGAAATGTTTGGGATTGTGCTAATCAAATGGCGCACAGTGTATAAATGCATCATACATACATATGAATGTACAAATGTTTCTAAAAAATGCTATACAAAATAATAACTGCGAAGTCCAATTATTGTTGACAAATTTTCCGTTTATAATGGCAAGGCAAGGGTATATTAATGACGTATAATTTTTAATATCAAAGAAATTAATGTTTTATTAACTACCAAGTAAAAAATCTAAACAAAAAAAAAAACATTGGTAGTATTAGGTTAGGTACTAATTTTTATACTATCAATTGTATGATTTCATTTAAATTTACTAAAATTTACTAACCAACTAAAAGTATTTTTGCTTGTAAATTTGCATTAGAAATAAATTACATAAGGGCCGTTCAGGATCTTCTGCATTTGCATATTCGTTGCATAAAATTTTCAAATGCAAATGCAATTCCAACTGCAAATCCAAGACCATTTCCACAACATCCTGAACAGCCCCATAGTATATTCTTAAAGGTGTAAACTTTTGCATGACGTTTCATAAGCTATTTACAGTACATACTCTTTTTTTTTAGCTGCTAAAAATAATGCATACTTTGATAAGTTGCTATGCATAATCAGCTTATATATGTACGTACATACATATTTACATATATGTATGTACATACATGTACATATTGCAATTTATAATGCCTACAACTGTATTATTTGCTTGATAATTACGCCATTCTCCGCACCGCCTTGAAAGGGCGTCTTAAGGTACATAAAACGTTTGACATTTACCAAACACATACACACTGAATGTGTTGTTGTATGCGTTGCCTTAGGAAATGCGCACCAATTTATTACCGCCTCTGCATCATTCATCTTCCTCACCTAGTCCACTGACTTAGGTGTAGACTTCAACCGGCAACTAAATCATTAGTGCTGAAAATGGATTGTAACGCATAATTTTCGATAATAAAATCCAAAGCACCGATGTTATGCCGCATAGTACCACACCGCCCCAGCCCAAATCCAAACTCCATGATGTCAGAAATATGCGTGCGCCCAATAGTGGTTTGGCCATTATGGCTACGCCGCCCGGACGCGCCACAATACCATCGACGGTGCCATCATAGTCGCTGTCTAGCATGGGACGTCCTTGTTGGCGCTTGAAATGTATGATCATGAGTGTGAAGAGCGCAAACAGTGCTGGAATAAAAAAGTAAAAAAAAAAAAAAAAATAAAATTTTTCACTGAAAGGTGGCAAAGACGAGGAAGGAAGTAGTAAGACTGATTATTTTTTACTTTGAGAGTGTGACAGTAATTGCGCAAGCTTAGGCGCTTTGCAGCGAACCATTTACTGTATAACTTACCCGCCAGCAGATACATGACGCCTGTTATTAGTATGGCGCTAATTTGTCGTTGACAAACGCCGAAAGCTCCTACCAAGGCGGCGCTACCCAGTATAATTAGACAGACCAATGAGCAGGAAATTGACAGATTTTGCATTCCTATAGGAATTTAAAAAAAAGAAATGTTTGGAGATGACATAACAGTGTAGAAAATAGAATATACTATGTATTAGCAAATGCATTCAAACTTTTTTTAATTTTTAAAAAGGGTAAAAGAGTTTTAAATGTAGTTTTCAGAAATTAAAGCAAGTGCAAAATTGTGTATTTTAATCAGATTAAATATATTTTAAGTAGATGTACATGTTTATGTATTTTAGAGATATTAGAATGTAATGCATGTAATCTAAATCTAAATTACCATTCTATATAGCAGTGTTATATGTATTTTTGATAATTTTTATATTTTGAGGCATTCACGAAATTTATGTAAGCTTATAAAATTAGAGAGCGAGCAGATGCTATTTATAAATTTATGGAATGATTGATTTGAGTTGTGAACATTTTTAGAACAGGAATTCTTTTTGAACCGGACGTTTGGTTGATTGCTATGAGTCTGGAAGGGTTTGTACTGTCTCTATTACTACCCTCTTAATAAACACTCGAATTGAAAAAGATTTGAGGCTATGTTTGATACAGCCTAGTATTACCCCAAAGTATGTGTTTTGGTAATGCTTATGGAGTGACACTCCCTGGCCGGTTATAAATCTGGGTCGTTTCTTTACCTGACGAAAAGCGAGTTTTGTACATATTCTTTAGTGGAAGCTACTGGAGAATTATAATGTGTAGTCGGCTAGAAATTAAGTAGTGAACACAGTATTAGTTATCAACTAGAAAAACGTACATTTATCAAAAGTCTGAGAAATCATTTAGGCGATTAAAGCGTCAACCAAGAACAAAAATTTAAAATTAAATATTTAAAATACTTAATTTACAATTTATTTAGATACAAAATTAAAGTTGCAATTCTTGATACTTATATATTGGTTCAAGACACTAATTAATGTAAATATGTAGATTATTTCAATTGGCGCCCAAACAAAACATATTCTCACTTCTTATGTGTTTGCTGCCTGCCTGCCACTGCTACCAATCCTCATCACTTACCACTGCTTTTTTCGCTTTTTATTACAGACAAACAATTTTTGACGTGTCGACACATAAACGTTCGACTTAATATTGAAAAGCCGAAACAAAAAAACAGCTCAGAACAAAATAACACAACTAACGGTTAACCAAGAAGACAAGCTTTGCTAAAGGACTCGAATCGAAAAAAATGGCGAAGTCGCGTAAAAGTGAAGCCACCAAGCAAGTGGCAAGTCCAAATATCAATACTGCACCCAATACGAACGGTACAGAGACAGAGGGTGTCGAAAAAAGAAAGCGTGGTCGCCCTGCTGGCGTTGGCCGTAGACCCAAAGCAAAGAAGCCGCTTATTACGAAATTGGTCGATGGCAAACTGATGAAGCGAGCATTGGGCGTGCCCAAGAAGGTGTTGACTGGCAAGCGTGGTAGGCCGCGCAAGGAATATGTTTGGGTTGAGGCGAAATAAGTAATCAAAAAGCTCATCTCCACACGAGTCCAAATATTATTTAAAGAAAGCAAAAAAAAATATATATATATAAAAAATCTTAAAAATTGTATTGCAGAACAACAACGCTTGTTAATCATAAATTGTAAACGTTAAGAAAAATCACATAATGCGTAAAATTTAAATTGATTATACATATACATATACATTTTATACATAAATTAAGATCTCTCGATAGTTTTGCGAAAAATTATTGTTGAGTTAGAAATATATGTATGTATACATTACCAATGTCAAATCGTTTTAAGCGGCATAAAAAGTAATCCAAGTTTGATTATTCAATATTCAGTAATTTACATATACATTTTATATATACCTTAAAATTTCTTGATAATTTTACGAAGAATTATCGTTGCCTACATTAAAATGTCAAATCATTTTATTCAACTTAGAAAGTTCTTAAGTTGCATTATTCAAAATTCAGTTAATTATGTATATGTATTAAGTGTCAGCAAATCTACATACTTATTTGCGTTTGTAACTGCAACCAATTTATTTTGTAATCGAAACAAATATTAATAAACTGCATTCCTCAAAAAGTAAATGAAAATTAATACTTAATAAAAAAGGTACTCTACAAGGATATCGATCGGAGGTTTCTTAGAAAGAAATGAGTTGCAGATGGCATTAATTTGTAGATAGGAAGAGTTTAAAAAAATAGAGTGAAAGCATTAAGCCGTATGACTACCCTGCAAACCAAAGTTCCCGAAATCTTTAGGAGTATCTCATTTCTGTACCGATTTTTTTTTTACGAATCATCAAAGCAAATAATATGGAGTGGTTGACACGAATCGTAAAGAAATTTCTGTACGAAAAAGAAAAAAAATTATGAAAAATACTGCAAGAAATTCTTTACGTAGCTGCGTTATTTATTGCTTTACCGATTTTCTTCCGAAATCTCGTAAAAGAATCGAAGTGTGCGCAGTTCATTTCATATTAGAAAATTCGGCAAAAAGTCGGATGAGGTCAGAATACTCTGAAAAAATGGTTTGCCTATGTATATATGAAAGAAAAAAGTTGAGCGTGTGTCAGTTTTATTTGAACACTGTATGTTGAGAAAAAAGTTTGGGCGTTCCCACGACAGTCGGGTATACGTAACGACCCAGATTTATATTTGGCCAAGGACCGTCACTCCAGCAACACTCCACAAATACTCTTTGGGGATCTTCCCAGTGGGGGAAAAAAAATCAGTAAAACAACCCTTTTCACATACGAAAATGTATTTTTTTTCCCCAGGGCGATGTCCAGAAAAAAATGGGGCATTCAATTTTGCATTACCTAGTATCGAGAAACGAATGTGTTTTAATATGAAATTTTTGGAACTTCTTGAATACATTAGAATGCTGATTATATAGCTAGAAGTAATATTATCGAGAACGCATAAGAAATACATTATATTATTTATCACGCATGTAATGCATTACTACTTTTCCGACTGGGTTGTATGCTGCTACAACAACAACAAAAAATTTTGGGTGCAATCATTTTTTAGGCACCCGCCGATTGGCTTAAACATTATGACACCGAAAAGGTCTCCCTAGGGAGAGAGTGAAGGAGATAGGAAGACTGAAGGATATGAAGAGAGTTTGGGATATAGAGAGAGAGTGAGGGAGATAGAGAGAGAGTGAGGGAGATAGAGAGAGTGAGGGAGCTAGAGAGAGTGAGGGAGCTAGAGAGAGTG